CAGAGTTCCTACTCCAGTCCTCTGAAGATGCCGGCCACAGAGACTGGTGAAACGTCAGGAAGAACAACCTTCAGAACATGGCCGAAAAACCCACAACACCCAAACTAAATTCATCCACAAAGCCACCATATTGCCCTAATCCCTCACGCCCTTCCTCCTACCCTTTAAATTATACTCCCCTAACCCAACCCCTAGTCCACGACCCGGCACCATCCGGGGCCTAAGCAGGGCTGGGCCATGGACACAGATCTCCTGCTCCTCCGCAAGCACCCCACGCATGCGTGCGAGTGCACCACACCTCCACATGAGCGTGCCATGCCCACCCGCAAGCATGCCATGCCCCAATGCACATGGACCCCACCTCCCAACCGGTCTGCGGTTGGGAAAAGGGCGGGAACCACTGTTCTACAACTCCCAGAAGTCTTCACCACCACCTCTGCTAGCCAGGATTTCTGGGAGTTGAAGTCCAAGAACATCTGGAGGCCCAAGGTTGGGGACCACTGTTCTAGGGTATTGCCTGTTCCACCCAATTTTGCATCATCTGCACATTTGACAAGCATTCCCTGCACTCCCTCATCCAAGTCTTTAATAAAATTTTTGAAGAGCACCGGGCCCAGTTACCTCCTCCCAGTTAAGAAAGACCCATTAATCATCATCCTCTGAGTACGATTCTGTAGCCAATCATGTATCCACCTGACAATCTATCCAGCCTACACCTAAGTAGTTAGCTTGCTAATCAGGATATCATGGGGCATTTTGTCAAAAGCTTTGCTTAAGTCAATATACTGTATATCAAAAGCTTTGCTGAAGTGAAGATATAGTTCAAATTATTCTTTTTTTGAAGCAGTGATCTATGTACAGTGGGGTCTGATACCATGGCAAAGTACCAATAAATAATCTACCTAAGTTTTGATTCAGCTAGGAGTTTTATATACTCCTACAGATATTCACGTATCAGCTGTCAAATTTCCTGAATTGGACCATTATTTTTCTGCAAAATGGGAATGTGTCAGCTAGGGGATTCTGGGAGTTGTAGTCTAAAACATACATTTCTCAACCTCTAGCATCTCCTATCTTTGGCTTCCCAAAGGCTTCTCGCCTGCTCTCCATGCTCTGGCCGCATCATTGCTGTCCTTTCGCAAGCAGGCAAAGACCATTTTGTTCAGGCATTTCCCTTAATAACTAGTGGTCTGACAGGGTTGTTTTAAATGAATGGTTGATTTTTGTATTGATTTTATTACTGTTGTTAATGCAATACTTGTTTCACTCTTTTTAAATATTCGTATGCCTACTGTTTTTAGCTTCCACATATTGTCTTTTTAATGATGTAAGCTGCCTTCGGTTCTTTTTAAGGAGAAAGGAGGGATAAATATATAACAATTGATTCAGCCACTAAAACTCTTTGGAGGTATATAGTTTCTTGTGCGGCTTTTAAGGACTGACCAGCAGAGATCAGCAGTATCAGTAAAATACTGAATAAATAGTCTTGATGTGATTGTAATGTATGATTGCAAGAATAATTGAAATGGGCACCAGCCTCAAACGTCTGATAGATTGCCTTGGAAATAAGTTGAGCTCTTTTTAATAATAGGAAATGTTTTTTTCCTCCAACCAAACTGAATTCAATGTATTCACAAAGGCTTTCACGGCCGGGATCTAATGGTTGTTGTGCATTTTTTCGGGCTCTTTGGCCATGTTATGTTCTGAAGTTATTCTTTATCACAACAAAAACATGCTGATCACCCTATCTCCTGAAAAAAGACAAAAGCTGTTCCCACAGCTATAAATACTCAACTATCCAACAAACAGCAACAGAGCATGGACAGAGTTCCTACTCCAGTCCTCTGAAGATGCCGGCCACAGAGACTGGTGAAACGTCAGGAAGAACAACCTTCAGAACATGGCCGAAAAACCCACAACAACCAAACTAAATTCATCCACAAAGCCACCATATCGCCCTAATCCCTCATGCCCTTCCTCCTGCCCTTTAAATTATACTCCCCTAACCTGAGCAATGCTCCAAGTGTAGGGAGAGGAGAAGAGAAAGGTCTCCCCCCACTTTCTCTGCTGTGCCAACGGCATGCCTGGACAGAAGTCTCTAATGGGCCTTGAAGAATGTGCTTTTTCAATGGGCTGCAGCTGAATCTACATGGACAGCACCATCAGCAGGAGATTGAACTGTGGCAATTTAGACAACAGAGTTTATCCTTTAAAGAAAAATACTCCGTTATACAAAACAGCCTTCTCCACGCAGAACACTAACAAAGCAAGGATACAAACCAGGCTAGAAACTCAATCTCCTACGGGCTATTTCTGACTTGCAAGAAGCTTTTTGTACTACTGACAGATGCTCAAAACCACTCTCTGCTATCAGTCACCTGCACTCACAAATGAGTCGCCTGACTGCTTCAGTACTGCTTCATATAATGATCTAGTTCTAACAATGACAACCAGCATTTGTTTCCTTCTTCAGCTATAGACTGAAACAACATTTCTGGCAAATATGGAAACATTCTCCCTGCCTTCTTCAGCTATAGACTGAAACAACATTCCGTTTCTGGCAAATATGGAAACATTCTTCCTGGGTTATGCATCCCTGAAAATCTAGGAGAAGATATGTTCTGCAAGACCATAGCCTTGCTATTTTGCAACCATGTGACATTTTGCTGTGTTTCTCTTTCTCTTCTTACAGTTTTTTTTAATAAAGAAAGAAAACGAGAAAATGATGGTACCCATATTTTCTTGAAATCTAAAACAAAAGAAGACAAGGACTAATTACATACCTCCTATCTAAAAGTAGTATCTAGACAACTAGACAAATATCTAGACAAATAAAACAAAGTACTTCCAAGTGTTCTGTTTTAGCCACGGCTAAAACAGAACACTTGGAAGTGCTTTGTTTTATTTCCACGTGAATGAATGTGGATAGCTAGAAATAGTTTATCCTGAGAACTCAGAAACATTCTGATTACAGTAAATAATTTTGTAACTTGGGAACTCTCTGGAAACATAGATCATTATGACTGATTATTATCAGGATACATGTGGGAGCCAAGTATTCAAAAGTTAATCACAGACAGAGCCCCTCCAATTCTGAAAAACTCAGTAGACTAAACTCAGTAATGCTAACAGAATGTAATGATATGCTTGCAAAACCATTTTGCATACCTGCAGAATGCAATCTGGATTTTGTTATCCGTTACTGTCACAGCTTCAGTTTGATCATCCTTTTGTTATACAGATTGCTAAGACAGAGTGGTTTATTGCGCTATTTCTCTCCATGATAAGTGGAGCTTATCGTTTGAAAATGGCTGGGGAACTTTCTTGGTTTAATGAAACCCATCAGTACTTGGAGAAATCTACACCCCTCAAGCTAAGTAATATATATATAGTGCTCATGCATGCACACATATACAGATATACACAGAGGAAAATTGGTTTTCATAATGGAAGAAGTAGAGAAAGAGAGAGAAAGCTGCATGTTGGTTGAAGATTCTCAGATATATAGAGGCTCTTTCTAGGGATCTGATGTGGAAAAGCAGATCTGCTGCCTTATAAACAGCTCCCTGACCTCACTCTCTACAATTGCAACCTTAAACCACTTCTAGCCTATACGTAAGCTGTAATTCTCAATAACTCTTCTGGCACCTAATGAGCTGAGGTACAATCCACAAAAACCCAAGTTACAATAAATGTGTGAGTCCTATATCTAGTGATATAGCACAGTCTTGTACATAGCCTTGTAAATCAACAGCTGAATGATAAGTCAACAGCCATTCAAATCCCATTGACTCAGTCTGCTCCAGCTGGGGCTAGCAAGTGAATTTAAGACACAGTCCTTAATATGCCACAAGATTCTTTGTTGTCCGTGAAGGCTTTTATGGCCAGGATCTAATGGTTGTTCTGGGTTTTTCGGGCTCCTTGGCAGTATTCTGAAGGTTGAACAACCTTCAGAACACGGCCAAAGAGCCCGAAAAACCCAGAACAACCATTCTTTGTTGTGTTTCTTGCAACCGACTAACACAGCAAACATTCTTGAAATGGACAAATGTTTCACCCCTAAGTGGTTCTGCTTCTGAAACTTTGCAGAGGAAAGGAGAAATGTGTAACAATATTTGTTTCTTTCAGTCCTTTATAGACCTAGTGCTAAGTATTACTCTAATCAATTTAGTGAAGAACAACCCAAACCCCATAAAACCAATATTTATACCCACAGACAACCTGAAATCACATTAAACCAAAATAATAGCAGAAACAGGGAACACAGATATACATTTACTTAAATGTGAATGTCTTTAAATGCTTCGTGAAAGAGAATGGTTGTTAACATCCTCTTAAAGAATGGGAAGGAAAGGGCCTGATGTACTTCTAGAGGGGGCCCATTCCATAGAGAAGGTCTCATAATGGTCCTTTTTTTTTGTCTCTCTTGGTGTGGCCACCCACAAAAGCCAGGCCTGTGAAGATCAGGTGGAATGGGCAGATGCTCCAATAGGCAACACATCCCCAGACCATTAAGGGCTTTATAAGTAGGATCCAGAACCTTGAACCTAGCCTGAGGAACAACAGGAAATCAATGCAGATGAGCCAGAACCGGAAAGATGTGATCAAACTTGTTCACACCTCACACCAGCCTGGCTGCTGCATTCTGTACCTCTTGCAATCTCCAGGCCAGTCTCAAGGGCAACCCCACATAGAACAGTGTTTCAGTAATCAATCTTAGCGATTACCAGCACCATGGATTAGTGCTGTCAAAGACTCTCCATCTATGCAGGGGTGTAAATTTTATGTGTACAAACTAGCTTTATTAAGTTGAAACACAAACGATGACTCCTAAAGCTGTGTTGGATGCCTCAAGTAGTGATCTTGCCTCTGCCTTGCTCCCACACCCTGGATCAAATGAAAGAATGAATGGAAGACTCCTGAGAATGTTGATTAGATTTGTGAAGGTTATGTTCTCTGTTGTTACAACAAATGGTATCAGAAGAGGACTATAAGCCTACTTGAGTAGGTTTCCAAGATTGAAGAGGGCTCGGTTGTGCTGTGGATTTAACTGGAGGGCTCTCTTGTAGTATTCCTTTGCCTCTGCAAGGTCTTTGGTCAGTGTCCCAAGATTGTTCAGGGCACTTGCATGACGTGGATACAACCTGCATAACAAAAAAAGAAACAGATCACCAGGCTATAGGGAAACTGGCAAACCATTTCAACATTCTATCCCTCTTCCAAACTCCAAAGTGGGCAACTGTAACCCTCTAGGTTTTTGGATAGCAATCCCTACATTTCCCGCTATTGCCTAAGCTTGTGGAGCTGATGGAGATGGCGGCCAAAAGAGAACAAAGAGTTATAGTTGCTCATCTCTGCCATAATGCTATTTTAGCTCTGTTATTTTCCTTGTATGGATGTCTATGCTAATGACTTGGGCTGCTGTATCCAGAGCTGCCTTATTTTTCATTTCTTCATTTTTATTTTACACCTCTCAGTTCTGCTCCACAACTACCACTCTATGAGGGGTGTGCAGGCACATTTTTTAAAAAAAGACAAAACCACAACAACCAATCTCTCTCTCTCTCTCTCACACACACACACACACACACACACGCACACACACACCAGTTGCAATTAAACGGGGAGAAACTGTTGTTGCTATGTGCTCTCAAGTCACATCTGACCCTAATAGTGTTTTCAAGGTATCTGAGATATTTAAGAAGTGGCTTTACCATTGCACCCACTACAGTGAGTTTCCATGGCTAAGCAGGGATTTGAAAGGAGGTCTCCCAAGTTCTAGTCTGATACTTTGTCCACTACAGCATAGTAGCAATGATGCTTATAAATCAGAATAAAACCTACAGAAAATAAAAGAGAGCAACAGTCTGGAAAGGGTTCTTCAAATGCCTGGGTTCTCTCTGCATTTGATCTGTGCTAAAAAAAAATTCAGTGTGGTCATCAGGTGAGCCCTCATTCGAGGAGGGCATTCCACAGAAAGGGGAGCCACCACTGAAGAACTTCCCTCTTTTGTAATTATCCACTGTATCCTTCAACTATCATTACGCGGGGAAACCTGCAGAAGGAAGGTGAAACAGATCAAGCTTTATCATTGGAGTGAGGTCTGTGGGGCTCCGTATGTTTCTGGATTGCGACCCATGATGGCTGAGGCTAATGGGAGCTGGGGTACGACAATACCTATGGGGTCATATGTTCCCTGTCCTCTCTCCTCCAAGCGTGCTGAAGCAGATGGTGGGTTATGCCAAGAGTAGGTGAGAGGGGCCTGCTGTTCCTCTGACCGCTATGAGCAAATAGTGCCAGCCTTTTTGACTGGCATTCTGCACTTGGGTAGGGCCTCCTCCTCTTTCTCCTCCCTGCCTCCAAAGTTGCCTCTTCACTTGCCTTCATGCTTTTGGCCAGTTTACCCAACCATCTGGTCACCATATGTAAGCTGGGAGAGGAGGGGTGAACATGCAGTAATAGTAAAGGGGGGAAAAAGTGGGAGGCCCGGAGACTCTAATGCCAGCTTTCGGATTTCTTGTCCTGGTGATGGGTCCCTCATCGGTATCCAACTACTGTATTTCAATTCTTGACCAAACCTCCTCATATCAACCTGTCATGTGAACAGGACGAAAGCCTGAGTTTGGGAGTAATGCCTCTGAAACAATGTTGTCACAATGGGTGGCCATGTGGCTTTTAACACAGCAACCACAAGAACACAAACATGACTAAGTAAGCAACTAGCACCTCCTTAATTAGTCTAAATAAACCATTGCTGCTTCTGTAACTGTGGCGGTGCTCATCCCCGTTTCCAAGCCATAGAGCCAGCGTTTTGTCCGAAGACAATCTTCCGTGGTCACATGGCCAGTGCGACTTAGACATGGAACACTGCTACCTTCCCACCGGGGTGGACCCTATTTATCTACTTGCATTTGCATGCTTTCGAACCGCTAGGTTGGCGGGAGCTGGGACAAGCGACGGGCGCTCACACTGTTGCGTGGATTCGATCTTACGACTGCTTGGTCTTCTGACCCTGCAGCACAGGCTTCTGCGGTTTAGCCCACAGCGCCACCACGTCCCAAGTAAGTAACTAGCACCTCTTTAATTAGTCTAAATAAACCACTGTTGCTTCTGTAACTGCGCTACCTTGCACAAAACTTTAAAATACAGGATTTGAGCCTACGTAGGTTTCTTGCATAATGAGCAATGTTTATTTATTACTCCTAAATATTTTTGTGGGAATTATATGTGGAAAATCAGCCATTTTTTGCAGCTCTTTAAAAAAACACTATTTTTTTTGGAAGAGGGGGAATTAAGGAACATTTTATTAAACAGGATACTAAGCAGTATTGTTAAATTGCATTTCCTGCTGCAAAGTGATGACTAACCACAAAGAACGTCTTGTTTAAGAACTAATACTAACATAGTTGCTTTTCTAATAAGAAGCTCGGACTCTAGAGGAAAAAAAAACACACCTGTTTGTTATGTTTTTGTGCAGTTCCTACCCTGCCCTTAGAGGAAAAGAAGTCCTAGAAAATGCCTAACCCTGCAAAAGTAAAGCCACCTTCATTTCTGCTCCTGGACAAAATCAACACATGTAATCAAATTCTACTGAAAGGGGAAATGTTTTAGTCAAGAAACAATGAACTGGTTTCAATTTCCTAGCCTTTGTTTTGCCACTGCATGCCCAAGAGATGTACTGAGGCTATATTCCTATTCCTGTTCTGCTTCCCCTTTCAGAACTAAGGCTTGTGTATGGGAAGGGGAAGTGTTTACCCCAAGCAATTCTGCATCCTACTTATAGGGCTGGGCACGGGAGAGAGATATGTACAGTATAGCTTTCCTTCGTTTGCAGAGGCAGAGAAATCTGTTTGCATTTAATCCTGTGGGGTTTTCTACTATGTAGTACAGCCAAAAGTAAAGCCACCTTCATTTCTGCTCCTGGACAAAATCAACACATGTAATCAAATTCTACTGAAAGGGGAAATGTTTTAGTCAAGAAACAATGAACTGGTTTCAATTTCCTAGCCTTTGTTTTGCCACTGCATGCCCAAGAGATGTACTGAGGCTATATTCCTATTCCTGTTCTGCTTCCCCTTTCAGAACTAAGGCTTGTGTATGGGAAGGGGAAGTGTTTACCCCAAGCAATTCTGCATCCTACTTATAGGGCTGGGCAGGGGAGAGAGATATGTATAGCTTTCCTTCTTTTGCAGAGGCAGAGAAATCTGTTTGCATTTAATCCTGTGGGGTTTTCTACTACATAGTACAGCCTTTCAGTGTGGAGTCACTCACACTAGACACATGACCAAGCACATACACACAGCAGTATATATGACACTGGAAATGGCAAGCATCTGCGAGCAATATCTCTTTTGCTGTGTATCTCATTAGGCGCAAAGTCCTCTCCGCTTCACCTAATCAAGCACCAAGTGCTGCATTATTTATGAAAGAAAGCTGAATTTCATATAACCCTCACTGGGCAGCCCCTTTTAAAATTACTATTAAATCAATTTATCCATCTTCTTGAAATCCTAGGCTTTCTCACTAAAAATTGCTTTTTCTTCATCATTAGAGCAAAAGACCTGAAACAGTGCAATTCATTATACCCATGGGGGGGCAAGGGGGGCAGGATCGGAAATAATTCTTTAAATCTGGTTTTTGGCTTTGATTTCTGCACAAAAGAGAAGCTGGATGTTTTCTTGGGGCAAAATGAATTATTCAGAAGACTTCTTCCACATTACCACTTCAATTGACAGGATAAATTTAGGCAGCTTGGCCTGAACTGTTAGAGGTATACATAGCACAAAACTCCTGTTCACAATTAATGCACCCTCCCTCCTCCGAGACTTTCTTATTAAGCTACCATCGTTCTCAGAGAAGATCTAATACAATAAATTCTTGACAGCCCTAGATTAGCAAATAGCCATTTAAACACAAAACTATGTCAACCCAGAAATGGGTAGTTTCAATTTCCTAGAAAACAATGGTCATTTCTTCCATCCAAGGCATTTATATTTTGGAAAATATTCTCGGGAGCGGTCTCTCTCACTGGATGTCTCCCTTACTTTGGTGTCAACAACACAGTTCCAAAATCAACTAGGTCTGAAGGAAAGAAAAGAAAGGAGGAACTTGTTGCCATGGATACCACATATAATCCAGAAGAATGTTAATTCACTTTTAATGCAGGTGCTGGGAAACCACTTTAAACAACAGGAGGGTTGCCAAGTTTGCTATAGCCCCTGAAAGAGTGAGTCATTATAGCTGCAATGTTTTAAAAAGTATTTACTTTCTAGTTTCTCATAAGTAGCTAAGTAAAACTGAAGCTGAATTTGGGGAGTAAATCAAGATGGGTCCACAGGTCTGGCTTTGACAGGGTAGGTGAGGAAGGCCCACCAAGCACCCGTATGCAGTTTTTGGATTTTTTTTTTTTTGGACTAAAGATCCCATCACTCTCCACTCAGGGACTTCCACTGGAGAGCTACACACCTAAACGTTGTTCACCTCGAGAAAAAGCCTAGTCTGGAAGGCTTTAAGGCTTGGCATAGGTCTAGTTCCATCCTAGCTTCCTGTGCAGAATGGAGAATTATGGGCTCTGTAGTTTAAAAATTCCATAAATCCCATGCCTAACAAGCATAACTATCCCACGGTCTTGCACAGTATCAGTTGAGCACTGGCAAGAGAGAGGCTTCAGCAAGATGCCTTAAATGGAACCCCTCCTAAGATGCTTCTCTTCACAGCTGTTGCTACTGCCTAGCCACACAATCACATCCTTCAACCCAATCTGCTTATCTGGTTAGAGAAAGGCAAGGAGAGATGAGGTAGCTGCCCTTTCTCCCCTCATGGTTCACTCAGAGAGGGGAAAAAAAAACAGAAATAGGGAAGGAGAGCTAAGAGGAAGAGAAGCAAGGCTGGGAGGCTCCAAGGATCTACTGTGGGCGGTGCAGGCCTTGCCAGGTATCCAGTATTTCCAACTGTGATGCCAGCCCTGATTCTATGTAGAAGAGTATACTCCTAATATTTCATCTAGGTTGCCAAAATGGCCTCAGTAACAATGTCAAAACAATAATGTGAGTTCAGTTGAAGAGAGGGAAGGACATATTAAAAATCACACAACATTACGATAAAATATAGTGCAGCCGCCAAATATTTCACTCCTATGAAATTC